TTTGGCTGACTTTCTCTCTCTCTGTAGACAAGTCAGCAATTTCTCATTGCTTTTATTTTCACTTTTGCTATTTCATTGTATTCCGTTTGTCGAGGACTTCGCTTTCTCTTTTCTAAAGACGAAGTTGAATTGCTTCACCAGCGCTTCTTTCCCGCATTTTATATTCCACATCAGCATCCCGAAAGCTGCAGAGTTCTGCATTTGCCTTAAAACACTTCTCTCTCTCTCTCTCTCAAACGTCGCCCCTGTGTATAAATTTTGCCGCGCTGTTTTAGACTCTGTCGTTGATGTCTCATTTTTACCTAGCTTTTCTATGATTAACGTTTTTCGTGACCATAATACTTCTTTTTATTGTATGAGTGCTTAGACGTAAACATGCCTGGAATCGTTTTACGGTTGTTTGTTTTTTTGGTATTTTTTCGACTGCTTTGTGTTTATGTCCTACTTTTTGGGCTGTTGTTGATTTGTTACTATGATTGTCCTTTGCCGACAGTTAAATACTTTTTCAACTCTTGTATTTAATTGTTTGTTCTTCGGTCTTTTTTTTCTTAATCTACGTTATGCCTCCGTTTTTTATAAAACTGCCGAAATAAACAAAAGCCTGCTCATCTTCGTCTCACATAGTGAACGAATGAAAGGTCCATTCTACAGCTGTTGATGATCCTGCTATTTTTCCGTATTCGAGCTTTAACACAAGTTAAACGAACACGACTGGCACAAAGTGTGCTCGCTTTACATAAAACAAAAAGCCCACCCCAGGAGTCAAATGTCTTTGCATTTGAATCAAAAAAGTAATGTCGTCAGTAATGATAAATAAAACAAAAAAATTGTCGTCCATCAAAAAGGGTGGTGTGCTGAGGGATTCGTTCCAAGCAGGGAAAGGATCTTGGATAAATTGGTTTACTGGATGCATGGCGTAGATCCTTATTCAGCTAGCTAAGTCACGCACATTTATAAGAGGAGTGGGGTTGATGACGGGTGGGAAAAGAAGGAAGTGTTTTGCTATTTTTTTGCCACGTGTGCTCAAGGTGGGGAATGACTAATATTGCTTGTTTCCAGAGTGCTTTTATAGTGGGGATAAAGAAGAACGCAGAAGTTTTGCAAGCAGGATTTAGGGGAAAGATAGGGAAAGAGGGCGAGGATGAAGGTCAAGTGCAAAGGAGAAAAAATGAATGGGAATGGGAATAAATGAAAACAAATTCCTAAGCTTTTTAGAGTCGTCGGAATCTCACTAACGGCCACGTGAAAGTTTTGGTGGAAGATTGCTAAGTTGCGAAAAAAGTTGGGACGCTGGAATTTTAAGAGAATTTTCGACTCATGTGTGAGTAGAAGATTCCAAATTTCTTTTCCACTAACATCTTTTTCGCTCACCAGCAACTTTCCGTTTGTTGAGACACTGAAGCCGACATCTATAATCGACATGCCACGTTGCTGCACATTAACTTCCTGAACTCCGAGGGCCAGTGAGTAACATATTTTAGCTACTTTAATTCCTTGCGATCTTGCTACAGCACAAAATAGTGCAAAAACGCATGATCGCTCCGGCTCGCCTGGTGCGTTCCAGCCTGGGCTACGAGAACCACGGAAACTAGAAGGGCGAAATTTTGTAGGCATGTCCCTTGCCCACGTGCTACCCAGAAAATTTAAATTCAGCCTTCTCCCGCCAGCAGATAACACGAACGGCTCGTGTGAACTTTTGCCGGTAAATCATTAAATTGAGAACCACGGAATCTTCGAAAATGAAATTTGAGGATAATGACTCTCTGTCCACGCATGACCTTGCAAATTCAAATTCAGCGCTTTCGCGCTCTTGGGTATCACCCATACTCCGTGAAAAGTTTGACGGGTAAATTATTATCTCTGGAACCCCGGAATCTGCGAAGCTAAAATTTTAGGGTAATGTCTGCTCTCCAAATACAATTCTAAAATTTTAAATTCAGCTTTCTCGAGCGTCCATGTATCATTTACGGCCCAGAGAAAGTTTCTGCGGGAAAATTATTATCTCGGGGAACGTGGTAGTTGGGAATCTGAAGTTTTTGGGTGGTCCCCTCTACCAGCGTACGACCTCACAAATTTGGATTCAACCTTCACGCATCGCTAGGTACCACCTATGGCCTCGTGAAGGTTTTGGTAGGGAGATTATTATCTCGTGAACAGCAAAAGCTAGAATGCTGAAATTTCAGCGTGGCATCCGCTGCCCACGTACAACTCTCCAAATTTTCAATGTCTCCATTGAGCATTTGGCGAGAAAAATCATTACCTCGGAAGCCAGAAGAGTTAATAGGCTGAAAATTTCTGGAGAATGTTTCCTGCCTAAGCAGGAGCTTCACAAACTCCAACTCAATTTCTAAGTATGTCGGGTGGAAGTTTTGTCTCAGTGATCATTTGAAAGCCAGGAAATTAGGAGATTAAAATTTTGAAAGGATATTTACCCTTTGAGGTTTTAAATTCAGCTTTCACGTGCTGATGTGTGAAATTTGAAATTTTCAACTATTTTTCAACACTGCAATTATTTTTGCAATCGCTCGGGGATGGAACTGCACAAAACGCATGATCACATCGGCCATTCTGGTGCGTGCTGTTATTTATTTTTAAACTGTAAAGTGGTAGCTGATAGAAAAAGCAAGTATCCTTTGCGAAAAGCGCACGGGAATACCCAGTTTGAAAAATTTCCCTCACTTTCATATTTTCAAAACAACACTGCATTCAAAAATTTTTTTTTTATTTGTAAGCAGTGGTCACTATTCTTATTTCCTGTTTACTAGGAAATGAAAAATACCAAGACCGGCCAAGCAATCGACGTAAAGACTCCGTATTGATCATGTTGCTGAACTATAAATTATTATGCGTTTTTTGCAGCTATGCAATGCGAAAGACGCATATTGACAAGAGGTTGTCTGTGTGTGTGTGTCTGTGTGTCCGTGTGTGCGTCTTTCAGGTTTCTCATCTCAAGACCTACAAAAGCTACAGGGCTGAAACTTTGGGAACTTAATCTACCTACACGTATGGGCCCCAATCCCCAAAATTGGCGCCATTATCCGCGTGGTGCCCGCACACGGGCCCGCCAAAATTTTTTTCGGGTAAGTCCATAACTCGGGTATCTGAGAAGCTACAACGCTGAAATATTAGGAGGATGTTCCCCGTCCAAGTGGGTATTGGTGAGCTCAAACCTAGCTCCGGGTAAGTGTACTCGCGTACGGGCCCGCCAAAGTCTTTATCGGGTAAGGTGATAACTCAAGTACCTGAGAAGCTAAAGAACTGTAATTTTAAGAGAATATACCCCGTCCACTTAATTTTCATTCAGCTCGAATCCAACTCTTGGGTATGCTTGGTAAGCAGGCACGGACCCGTGAAAATTTTGTTCCAATAAATTGCTAAGTCAAGTGTCAGGGAAGCTAGAAAGCTGAAATTTTAAGGGGTTGTTTTCTGACAGTTCTGGCGGCCAATCTTAGTTTGTTTAGCTAGAGGCATTTGCCGAAAGAGTCGGTGCCGGTAGCAAAAAAACTGCGGAGAACTATGCAAAAAACGCATCTTCGCACGGACAGCCCGTGCGTTGGCCAATTATTTTAATTTGCAGTCCACTGAAGAAACATCGTTACCAAAAGTGAACGAGCTAACGCAGAAATGTCGTAAGGAAGCGGATAAATATGGTCGGCTGCTGGATGAATATCGCATGGAAATTGCGGAGAAAAGCGAACATCATGCGCAGCAGCTGGAAATGAAGAAAGCAGATTGCAAAAGTAATTTATTTTCTTTTCGACGAGTACCAAGGAGACACAAAAAACATGAAATATCTTTAAAGCTGAAACACTGCAGCAGGAATGATACTTGCTTGACTGCCCGGAAATCTTACATGTTTCCCACTCAATTTTACTAAATTGTAAGTGAATTTGACCAACGCCAACTTGGTTTCTTGTCTTTTTCGCTTGTTGTCTTCTCACCTTGCTTCTGAATCTGCTCAAGATTAGGTTTACTTTTTAAATCATTCGTTTCTTTTCTTTGTGAAGAACATTTTAAATTTCTTTTTTCTGAAATCACTCATTTTTTTGCCCTTTTTGAATACATTGACAGTTGAATTTTCGCTATCGGGAAAGCTATTTAGTGCTCAAAAAGGTGTCCAGTAGTTAAATCGCAAAAGCAGTATGACTTCGTGTTTATTACTTCCCTTGCCCGCTATGATGCTGTAATAAGGGAGTGCCATGTTAATCCAGAATAAGTCACAAGAGGATTTTTATGCGTTTTTGCATATATGCAAATGCGAAAACCCATATAGCGACGACCGGTGTGCGTGTGTGTATGTGTGTGTGTGTATGTGTATGTGTGTTTGTGTGTGTGTGTGTGTGTGCGTGTGTGTGTGTGTAGCGAGAAAATGGCTAACTCCGGAACCAGGGAAGCTGTGAGACCGAGACTTTCAGGAAATGTTTCCAACTCATCTACAACTTGAATTTATCAAATTCAGCCTCCCTTTATGCGTGGTTGCCACGTACGGCCCCATGAAATTTTCTGGCTGGAATTTGAGTAACTCGGGAACTGAAAAAGCTGGAAACCTGGGATTTCAAGGGAATGTTCCCTGCTTGACAGCGTGGGCAATTAACTTCCCGAAATTCGAGGACCGTACGTCAGAGGTTTCTAGCTAGCTGGATTTCGAGTGATCTTATTACAACACGAAACACTGCAGAAGCGTATGATTGCACGGGGCCGCCCAGTGCGCGTCGTCAGTGATGTTATTTTGAAACTGATCCGGTGCGAAAGTGTTATTAAAATTTTAGGCATATAAATAGTAAATACCCGTGATCAGGTGGTTAGAGGAGGAAGGACGGTTTAAAATTTTTCGAGTATTAAGCGCAGTTGGTTTAGTATAGTACACCCACAGTGGAGAGAAAGCAATAGTCGAGTTATGATAATTTAAAGGGAACGAAAATTATGCAGTCCAGAGCTTGCTTATATATCTAGAGGAGCAAGACGACCCAGGGAAGTATCCCATGTTAGTTTTGTCACTGGAATGCCATCTCGATTTTTCTTTTTTACTGGAATGCTACTACGCATGGATCTTTGAGGTTCCACATTCATAGAATTGTTATCATTTACTGCTAATAATGCCAACCGTCTTACTAGTAGCTTTCATCGAACAAAAAAAGTCCGTTGGGTAACACTAGCCGTTATCAAATTGATTATTAATGATTATGAAGATTCAGAGCAATAAGCTGAAATGGCTGACTGGGTAATAGAAGCGTTTCTTCGAATCTTAATAAAATACCAATTGAATTTGGTCAGCTCGCATCACCTCTAAATCAGTATGTGTTGATCTTTTCTCAAAGTTTCTTTTTTTTCCAGCTCTTTCGCGGACACAAAAACAGCAGCAGCCGATCCTTTGCGTGCTTCAAATGCGTACAAAGAAATCGCGGATGCACTGCGAAACGCCAGTAAAGCGGTAAAAGGAGCAAAACAAACAGCGGAATATGCTTATCTCGATGCAGATCCGAAATCTGAAACTTCGATGTGGCTCAAGCAGCCAAAAATCAAAGTGTTACAATTAAGCAACAAGCCGACGAGCTGAATGTGGCAGACCTGGAAAATGAGCGTCTGGATGCGACGTTGAGAATGAGCAAACTCAACGGAATTGCTACTATTTCTTTTTGTTGACGGTACTTCAATTCATCATTCTACCTATTGTTTTGTATCATTTCGATCACCATTTTTCATTTCCTTATCGCTAGTGACGATGGGAAATCAAATAAAAGTTCATTATTGTTGCTTGCACATTGTCTTTTCCTCGCTGATCACACTTTAAATCACTCTATCGGGGAGTGTATGCCGTGCCTGAAATTTAACCCCCGATATTATGCTTTTGATAAAACGTGTCAATATATTACTGTATGCTTTCAATGGCAATACTAAGTGCTGTTAGCTGCAACTAGTTAAAGTGAACTATCAGCTCAGTATACTATGCATGTGGCTACGGTTGGAAGGGTAAGCTTTTGCAAGAATTCAAAGCTGAGGCATAATTTTTGTCCGACAATTTATGACGATTTTAGTGACGATATGTATAAAATGTAATAAAATATGTTTACTAAATTTAATTAAATGAACAAGGGCATTTTTATTTGATGAAGATACATGTGGGCGTTTTGTTTTTTCACTAACTTCCTGCCTGTAACTTCATATCTGGCCGTGTAACTTTCAGATGAGGCCCGATAAGGTTCAAAACTTCGGAATTTTGCAAAGATTCAGTACAGTGATGTGTGTAATGATATAAGACAAAAATGATATGGGAAATTTTTTTGTAGGGAAAAGGCACGGTTTAGAAAAATTTAGCGCAACTTCTTTAGTAGTTGGAAAAAATTCCACAGTTTCTTGATAAATAATTTTGCAAGAAATAAGCACTAGAAAGAGATGTAAGCCTTTATTACAGTGCTGAAAAGTTTGCAAAAAATGCAAATACATCGTTTTATTGAAGAAAAGCCTCCAAGCTCTTCGATGGACTTCCAGGCAATTTTCTCGACTGCCCTTTCAGGAATAGTGCATCTTTTGCAGCTGCACATAAAGAGTATTTTGGATTTTAGTGATAAAAGGATTTTGATTTAGAACAACAACTACGATTTTTGACTGTGATGCAAAAAAATACAGCTAATTGAAATCCGGACTTTATTGATGCGAATAAAAATTGACAAGCATTTAAAGGTACAGACTGACGATACAGCAACAAACTACAGTAGTACCATCAGCAACAAAAAAGCAAGACAGTCTACAAACGCTAAAACAAAAACATTAACTCAATACCGATTTACGACAGAAACGATCAAGAATAGCGCTGTAATTTCATGTGGAATGTAGATCCGTCTCATTCGTTCGGTACTTTAGCTCTGTAGCTGGTAAAACTGCGAAACGGCACATAAATGAGCTTCTCATGTCTTGCAGCTCACAGCAATGCGCTCGAAAACACTGCCAGCTAATGCCACGAAACTATTAACAGCGGCTCATATCAAACGAATATGCTGGCAGTCAGCGACTAAACAGATTCCAAACCTTTCCGGCTATAACCGACCAATACAGCAGAAAAAGTAACCAGTTGTGAAGGTCCGGCAAACATTGACAACGAAAAGTTCTTACATTTGGAATGGAAATATGAAAAAGAAGCATCGTTAAGAGGAGTTCGATTGTGGTGGGCAAGAGGATGCTTAAAGTGATGGCATAACAGGACCACGCACTAGCATTTTTAATTTACAGTTTCCTTTAAACTTCAAAAAATTGTGACCGTCCGCTGAAAAATGAAAGTGAACAATTCATCCAGTGTTCCACAGCACTGAGGCTGTATGTATGGCCGAGTCTCGCATCAGTGCCGAGTCTCCAAGCAGCACATGGAATTTCATGCGTTTTCGTTTCCTCATTGCAACATATCCGGAAAACTTCTTACTTTCCAGGACAACCGGAAGCTCGCAACAAAATTTTTCCCTCTGTTGGTTTTTCAGTTTTTCTATCGTAGCAAACAAAGTTGATTTGCGCACCAGTTTCGTCAGGAGACTTCAGATAATGAGCTTTTGCTCTTCTGTTTCCAAATCGGTTCCTAGAAATGCATCAGAAATAAAACGCCAATGGTATTCAGAATCCGAGACCAGCCCAAGCAAGAATGAACCTGCAGCGCACTGCTCGTCGCCACAAGGAAGCCTATCCACTGCCTATATCCGATCGCGTTCCAGTGAAATGAGCTCATGTTCCTACGAACCAATTCATAAATCCCTGACAGTATCCGAA